ATAGTACCGAGAAAGGTTATTGTGTGTCAGTGCTGTTATGGGGAAAAAAAAAAAGGGTTATAAAGGCACTATTATGATCAATCTGTACCAGATCCTGGTGCAAACCTTTCTTGAACTTTCTGAGTGATTGTGGAGACACCAGAATCAGTTTTGGTTGCGTTTCCAAAAATACCCAGCTGCATGGCTCACGTTAACCAAACCCAGTGATGAACACCCACGACACCTTGGTGTGCGTGGCCCAGGAGGTCCATCTGGTAAGAGCACAGGCATTACATTTTTTGAGAACTTGAGATTTCCCTTTAAATTTTGCCAGCAGCTTTATGACTCCAGGGAAGTCACTGCCAACGCGTCGGCTGCTCAGGTTTTTTACATCTGTGAAGTGTAGTTGCAAATTTTGGCTGCTGGTGTTTGAAGGTGGTTGGGGATTTACTCTGCAGGAAGTGATCCTGCGTGGTGTGAGCTGACGGGATTGCAGCTCTGAGATGATGGGAATACTTACTTCATCTTTCTGCAAGCTAAAAAACTCTGGAAAGAAACCCCCAACCTTTCATTTTAATATATTATCCATTTTGACGATGTGTTTGAGGGAAATTTTAAATCTGTACAGTAATTTCCTGCTGGTACCTAGTCAAACCCCACAGTGACATTTAGTCACGCATGTCAGCTACAGGCTCAGTTAAACAGATCACTAGATTACTGCACGAGTTTGGAGCTGCTTGTGGGCTTTGATGCCTGTTGTATTCTCTCACATCAAAGCGAGCGTGTGCCTGCTTGTTTGAACACCTATTTTTTTTCCTTATCTCTGACAGTAGTTTACTTCAGATGGCTGAGAAAACAACCGGAGGCCCGCAGGACGTCCCCGGCTCTTCTCCTGATGAAAACGAATTTCCTTTTGGATATCCCACGAGCATCTGTGAGGATGTGCCTGATCAGAAGTACCTGTGCAGCAACTGCAATAACGTTCTGAAGAAGGCCCTGCAGACGCTCTGTGGGCATAGGTACTGCTCAGCCTGCCTCTCCTGGATTGTGCGGTAGGTCCCGGCCCCAGAGGGTCACACCTCCAGGGCTGCAAGTGCTCCTGGGGGCCTCATCGTGCCCCTGAGCCCTGCAGAGGAGTCTGTGGCCTGCTGGCCTATAGTCATTTTACTGCCTGGGGGTACTCACCTGCAGGCTACTCTCTACCTCCTCCTCACAGCCAGTGTGCCAGTCTGCAGGGCAGGTTTGGCTGGGTTACTGGGCATCAGGTTTTCTCTCTGTATGAGTGAGATACTGATTGTGATTTAACCTTGGAGAACTACTGCACAGCTGACTTCATAATTCCATGGCACTTTACAGTCCTTTGATAAGTGACATCATGAGATTTTAATAAACATTATAATAGAGTTTTATTTTTAATATTTCAGCTGGTTCCCGCCATGTTAAGGTGCTGCTGCCATTAGTGACAAACAATGACAACCTTAGTCCTGGAAAACCCAAAAACCAGGAGCTGGGTGGGGTTTTGCTTTGAGTGATCACCTGCTTCTATCCTGCCTTTTCCTTTGACAATTACACCTTGATCCAGAGCCTGTGGGAAAGGGTATGTCTGCCCCACAGGTGGGAGGGGAAAGTGCAGTGCAGCTCCATGGACGTGAGCTGACTTCAGCTCGGATGTTCTGGAAGAGAGCAGCTGTCAGGATTCAGTGGCTGGGCTTTCGTACTGGCCAAGTCAGAAGCCTGTTGCTGTGAATCCTCACGGATATTATTACTGGGCTGCTTTGTGGGGGGCCATTTGTGAAGTCCTGGCTCTCAGCACAGTGTGGGGCACCCAAAAAGCTGAGTCAATGCACTGGCCGCATATGATTTGAAGATAAACAGTAACATAAAAATGTATTGAAAATAATATATTTGATGAGCTTACGTAAATCCATTACTGTAAATCTAGAACAAAACCCTTTGATGAAGCAACATAAACCATAAATTCAGAAAAGTGTCAGCAGAACATAACCAGAATTGTTCTATCTTCCCACTAGAGTCCTGTAGCAGAGATGGGAAACTGGCTCACACAGACTGGTTAGACAGTTTGAAATCTGTTCAGCTCTCCTTGGGTGGATGCTCTTCTGGTGGGCTGCTCAGCCTGTGTTAGTTTGTTATTTGCCTGGAAGCTAAGCAGCACTGGCAATGAAACATCTCCAGTAAAGTTTGGGGTTTTTATTTTTTGCTTTTCCTATATAAAATTCTGTGCTAAGTATTTTGAGAGTAGATCTACACCTTTTTTTGCTGCACTAGGATGTTAACACTCTAGAACTCAATTCTGCACTGGTTCTGCTATATCTCTGTAATTTGAAGTTTATGTACCTGTCTTGGGAAAATGGGTATTTTCTGTGTTTTAGAAGACTTTAGTTTTCATATTACCTTTTCTACATTGTGTTTTTGCATAAATAATGAGAGAAATGGGTTCTCATATTTATTTTTTTTTATAATCCAGGCTGCTCTTATTTTGTTAAAATACAGATAAGATTTATGGGACTAGTCCTGGCCCTGGGGATTTTTTTTTATGTCCATGTATTCAAGAATTGCCCTTTTAATGAGCAAGGACTATGGATTCTGAGTGGAAATTATATTTCTCCTGTTTTTATTTGTCTCAATGTCTCTACAAAGACCTCCCAAACTACAGTACACTGATTGTTATTTCATTCTTCTTTCTTTTTGCCAGAAACAATACAAATGCAATTTGCCAGAAATGTAAAGAGGAAGATCCCAGCACTTTAAGTGAGGGAAGCCTGTTGGCAGAAGAAAGGGTAAGCTGTAGTTCACAGTTCATTAACTTACCATTAGCTATTCTTTGAGCTACTCTATAGTCATCAGTGGACTATAGTTTGGGGGAGAATGATACAAAATATGATAGCAACTGATAATTACACTTTTTAACTTATGCTTTTAGTCATTTGGGTTTCCCACAGTGTTTGATTTAAAACCCATAGTGGCTGCCTCAGTACTTTCCAAATCTGTCAGCTATTGCAACAGAAAATCCCACATTCTTCTACATAATTACCTTTTTATAGTCTCAGAGTAACTGGTGCTTTCCTACTTGCAATGTGTCTTAGCTGTTACTTACTATCCTTCAGAAGTATCCTAGTGGATTTTCCAATCTCATGGTTCCTTGTACCCTTCAAAGACATTGTCAAACTCACAGGTGGAGCATCCCTAAGAAAAAAGCTAGTGCAGTCACCCAGCTGAATAGCCTAGGAAGTATTTTGACAGCCAAGGTATTGGGAGGAAATAGTGGAAAACTTAGAGCTGAACATAAACATGGAGGAAAATTTTCACTGGCAAATGTTTCCTCTGTAATTTAGCAGTGCAGATCTCTTTTGCTGTGGTGTGATTTTCCAGGCAGACCACTGCCCTGTTCTGTATCCTGAATACAGGCTGGGCCACAGGGCTCAGTCCCAGCTTGTCTCCTTCCCTCCTTTCTGATCACTTTCAGGAATACCCAGAGACACACGCTCTGTATAACTTTGTAAGGGAAAAACAAAACCCAACAGGCAGCTGGCAGGGAGGCAAAAGGCAAAGTTTAGGAAGCAGCTGCAGCAAAATAATGCATCTGCAGTTAATGCTGAACTTGGTAATGTCTCTGGAGGAATCCTCAATTCTGCAGTAGATTTCTCAGTACCAGGATTTCATGTGTCATGTAACCACAGGTAGGTGCAGCTAGCCCCTTGGGAACTTACTCTGTGCTCTCAGTTCTCTTATAACTCTGGGATTTCTCTGCTCTGGGATTCTCACTACATCTGCTGGGACTTTCTGCAGAGGCTGTGGGTGGGGTGTTGGGAACAGGGCCCCACTCCTGCAAGCTGATCTGCCTGGGCAGATTCTTACTCCTGTGGAGAGTCTGGCTGAAGTCAGTCACCACGAAGGTGTGAGGATCTGCCTGCAGAGATCAACTTACAACAATGGGAATAATGAAAAGCATCTGGCAGATTTATTCTTTATATCTATGCCTGATAATCTGTGCTTTACCTTTGCTGTGGTTTTGCTCAGTGTTTATTTCCTGTGCTGTCTGCTTATGTGTTTATATTTTAAAAAGATACCTACACAAGGAAGAGAAAGGCCCTATCAGGAGGTGTATTTGCCTTAGCTTATCCCATCATCTCTTTCTGTGGTAACTCCCATCCCTTCCTTGTTACACTTTTAGTTTATGATCCCTTCCTATGCAACATATACTTCCAATCATATGGTGCTGTTCATCAGGGTCAGTTCCTGAGCATCTGCACCTATGGCTGAAATCAGTGAGAGGAATGGGGGCACCAGCAGCTCCTGCACCAACATCTTCCTTTGGAATAGCTAAGATGAAAGAGGAGAGACATGCAACTACATTATATCCAGTCAGAGAGAAATATTTTCTGCTTCCTTCTGTTTGGCCCAGAGCACTTTATGTCAGTGAGAGTCATCTCATTTACTGTATGAGGGTCTGACTAAGGTCCCTAAAGTTCTGTGCAAACTCTGGTTCCCAGATAAGAGGGCAAAAGTTTAGGTGAGTGTTTTGAAGCAGTAGCCTGTGCAGATAAAAGAAGAGATGAGGATTTCCTGTCATGTTTTTCACTTGAGTGGTGTCCACAATGATCTAGCAACTGCAAGTGTGAAACAAAAAGCACAGGGAATGCACACAGCAGTAAGAAACTCATGTGCTGTTGGGATTGTCCCTGTAGTTAAATATATTGTAAATTATCTATTTTGTAATGTCAGGAAATTCCTTGAGTTTCTCTCTCATGACACAGGGGGAAAAAGCCACCATGTGCCTGATAACCTGAATTTCTTTTCTTTGATTTTGCTGATGAATTAGAGTGGAATGTTTTTGAGGATGGGGCTGATGGGCTTTCACTAATTGTACATCAATTGCCAGCTTATTACATAAATTCTTCCATACATGCAGAGGGAGCAATACAGGGTTTTGTACAACCTGCATGATTATTTTTTAATTCCTTGTTTGCCAAGCTGTTGGCAATTAAAGTGCAAAGTTCTGAACTTTGCTTGCAGGTTCCAATTAGGAGATGAGTTTCTGTGAGACTCTGCATATAGAAACATATTTCATTGTTACCATTTCAGCTTCTTTTGTGTGATTTAACATGACACACGTAGGTAAGTGCAAACACCTTGTATCTAGCTTAAAAAATACCAGGAAGATTGATTCTGATAATTTTTTTTTTAATTTTTTTAGCTCATTGTGTAGAATTTCAATAACTTTATTGCAGTGGGGGTACCATTTGTAAATACTTTCCTCCATCTATTTATAAAGCTTCCCACCCCCTCTCTTGTTACCTGGGACATCCACGTCTCTGTGTTACATACTTATACCACAGGGGATCTAGAAACATGCCCTCAACTTTAGCAGGCCTTGTTCTTGTCTCAGTGTACCTGTTTTGATTGTCCAGCTTGGAATATTAAGTGTGTAGTGTTTCATTATTTACATAATAATTGTCCAGTTCTTCATGGTTAACATAATTTTAAAAAAAATCTACATAGTGCAAAAAAAAACCCTGCTCACATATGGTTCCTATTCCTTTAGTGCACAGTGCCATGCTAAGTGGAAACAGCCATGGTCTGAGCAATGTACTTGTGCTGCAGAACAGTCTCAAGTCCTGTCTGCAGCACGTTTAGGAGGTGTTAATGACCCCAATTATAAAACCCATTCATTAAGAGTGGCACGTGGCAGCACCCTATAGTCAGGGTCCTGTCAGCACATTCATTGCATGGGACATATTTTAGGCTTCTGCAAAAAGGAAGTAATAGCTGTAGTTGACTAGGAATATTTTCAGGTCATTTCTATAGTATCAAATAGTTTCTTTTTGAACCATAAGGCAGACATTATTTAATAATTATTTGGGCTTCTATTACACTAAGATTAACTTGCTAAGTTAGAGACTCTTATGACAGTACAGTAAATTTAAAAACAAATAAAACAAGGGATTTATCAAGATCTGAGGTACTGACAGAGTCATCTTATTCCTATGTGAAAAATGCACGTGGGAGTACTTTCTGACCAGTGTTTATTTTCCTTCCTCTGTTTACTTTCCAGGCTTTTGGTGATGCTGCCATTAATAAAGAGATTTCTGAACTCAGAGTACACTGTGTGACCCTGGGATGCAGTTGGTCTGGTATCATGAAAAATTTTGAAGTATGTTTCAAGGCAGTTTATTTAAATCAACACATATTCTTCCTTAAATGGGGACAGAAGGGCAATGAAACTAGGTTCTCAGCAAGCACTAATTAGTTCAATGTCATTAGAATCAGCAAAAGTATCATGCTTTATAACAAGAGAATAGCTAAAACCATGCTGTTAACTTGAGTAGGGCTTTGACCACATCCAGAACATCCTGAATGATTGTGAAATGAATGTTGTACAAATTTACATCAACTATGATTTTTTTTTCCCCATTGGGTTTATTTATCATTTAAATGGAAGGATGCTACAAGCAGTTTTTGACTGACCAGAATAATTCCATCTCCAAGACACTTTTATGGGCAATATCCTTAGTATGTTTTTATATGAAAAGATAATTTCCTCCTTTGTAAATGATACCTATTGATTGAATGTGTTCATCATTCTTTTCTGACTGAAGTGCCCCAGGTGAAACATTTAAGTGGGCAAGATCTGTGAGTCTGTTGTACAAATTAGGACACTGAAAAAAATGCAGCATACTCTGATAACAAAGCAGCTCTGATTTGGTCCCCTGGTGTAGGAAGAGAAGGTCTTTCTGCAATTATACCAGCAAATCTGCTGTGCACCTTGTATGACAGTCTATCTGATTAGCCTCTGAGGAGCTGCTGCCTTTTCTTTGCTTATTTTGCATATATTTTCTATTTGAGTGTACTCCTCTTTAAGGAAAAATCCTCCCAGTTTGCTTAGCCTCATAGTTTTGAGAATTGGAGCCCCTCAGCATGAACACATGGCAAAATTGATTTGAGGGTTGGGCATGTGATTGAAATTGGCATTTCTGAGCCTGTTCTCTAGGGGACAGCCATCTCCCTGGAGAGACAAAATCAGTTGTGACACAATGCCTACAGAAGCCTCAGGCAAAGGGGTCAGAGTAGAGAGTTGTTCTTGAAATGCTGTGGGTTTATGGATCTGAAAGTGCATCTGTTGGATGTAGCTATGAAATAAGTGATGCTGATGCTTTTCTTTGCTGAGATGAGATGGTGCAAAGAGTGAAAAGGAAATGTTTTAGAAGTTATTTTGAATATAGGTAAGGGTTGTGTTGTAATTGTGGCATAGAAGGTGTCAGATGACCATCCTTTTATGCTCTGCAGAGATGTCAGCAGACTAACCACATTCATTGTACCAGCCAGAGCAGGATGGGCTCAGTGTTCAAAACTCTCCCCACCAGAACCCCCCCCCCCCAAAAAAAAAAACAGGGTAAAAGTTGGGGAGCCTCTAATACAAGGGAAAAAGCTGTGACCAGGGTCATGATAAATGTGTATCTGCAGTTCAGTTTTTACTTTATAGCTTTTTACTTCCAGGAGCATCAGAGCTTATGTGAATATGCTTTAATCCCTTGTCACACTGGCTGTGGACACATGGTGATGAGAAAGAAGCTTGCAGATCATTTGGAAAATGGATGTGTTAATAATGTGACAACGTGTCAGAAGTGTAAGAGGAGCTTATCCAGTAGTGAATACCAAGTAAGAATGTTTCTCTGTTTCAAATTAGGGCTTTATATTAATGTCTTCAATGATCTATCATGACATTTTCCATCCTGATTTCACGAATGCTATTACTCTTGGAGGATATTTGATTTTCCTGAGTTTGCTGATTTTTCCATGCATGTGTTGGAAGGAAAAATGAGCTGTATTTGATAGTCTTCTTGTGATGTTACAGCAGAGAGGGAAACAGCTTTGTGCTCACCCAGGGCTTGGACAGCCCATGTTTTAGCTCCTGTCTCAAAGCATGTGTCCCAGTATAAGGTGGGTAAAGGAGCAGAAGAACACAGACAGTGGCAGGGAAGAGATCTTAAAAGTGGCTGGAGTTTTATTCAGACTAAAACTGCCCACAGATTTGTGAGGCAGGATTTTGCCAGATAGTATTTCTATTAGATAGGATCAGATTAACTCTCCAAATGAGCAGCAGTGTCCATATGGACCAGGAGGACCATGCTCTGTATCTGCCACAAAATTCTCAGTGACTACTTATAGATATTTATTTTTTTTATGTTGAAGTTATGTTTCCCACTGTTGTGACAGGAACTTGCAAGATGTATGTGTATATACCCTCTGTGTGTATATATATATATAGTTTGTGATTAAAACCTCCTGGAGCAAAGGAGCAGCAGCATGAATGGGAGACACCCTGTGCCTGCCCACAGCCTGTCTGTGTGTTTCCATTTGAAAACATCCTCGTCCCAGCCCCACCAAACTTCAGACCCTGTGGGCTCTGCTGTGTCAGACAATGTTGGGCAACTCTCTTTTGGGGGGTAGCATAATGAATATTGTTCCCTCCAGATGATTTAAAGACAGTAATTGCCAGCCTTGGAGTTTTGTCCTGGAATGGAAGCACAGTGAGACCAGACCTGCGTGGCAGGGGGGTTGTTGTGACTGTCTTGAAGTGTAGACTGCAGTAAGTAGGAGTGGGTAGCTCTGCAGGTTGTAACTGTCACAAATTCATGCCTTCCCCAGTACTGAGCTGTGAGATTTACTCAACATGGGGGCCACAGTTCTTCTGGGGTAAGAACAAGGTGCTTTTGCTAAAACATGCTTCTTGGGAAGCCTTTGCATGTGCTCTTTGCATCTTACTAACTCTTACAGAGAGAGAAGAGTATTTGGACCTAGGGAGATTTTACCAGTGCTGCATCCAGTTTATTTTTGAGAGAGATTGTAAACACCAGAAGGTGGCAACACTTAATCCCTGTCAGCCTTCTGTAGGTGCAGTGGGCAGGCTGGAGGGGGAAACCTGAGCTCTGTTCCCTGAGCACCTTTCTCTTCTCAGGTCTGTGATACCGCGGATCCACCTCAGCAGGCTTCATTTTCCTGCAGTGAAGAACTGTTTCCCTCCCACTCATTCCAGTTAGCTATCATCTAATTAATTTTTTGGTTAGGAAACCTTGGCAACCGAGCAGGGGATTGGTCTTGAGATGTTGATTTTTCTCTGCCTGACTTAGTATTTGTAAAATTTTGCTGGTTACATGATCTCTGTTATTAAACTTGCAGTTCCGTGGCATATGAATTTTGATTTGGTTTGTGTATTCCACATATCCATAATCCCCTGGCAGCAAATAGTAAGTTTAGGGCACTGCTCTTGCTCTCTCCACCTCAGCCAATTAATTATTGGTCTTGTGATTTTTGCATTTACATGTTTTAATGAAACTTCTCGCTGTTCCCTCTCAACCTTGAGAAATCATCTATCTGAAGGAGTGAAGCAGCAGAAAGGAAGAAAGTAAAGGCATACTTTGTGCAACAGCTGAGATACAGAGTATTGAAAAATGAGGTAGAGAGTGAGAAAACTCTACATCTGAGGATTGAAAGGGAAACCTCAGGACTCTGTGGGGGAGACCTGAAGGCTGCCGAAATGGCTTTATCAAAACAATTCTAGACTGCTAAAGGAAATGCAAAGTTCATGAAGATTTAAAACAGCCCCCCAAACAGTATGAATGGAAGGGCAGCAGCTGCTGTGTTAAATGCACACATTACAGTTGAGTGAGCTGAAGGCAGGAGGATTACTGCAGGAGTCCTTGGAGCCAGGAAGGGCAGGAAGTCTCCTGTTAGTGGGAATGCGTTTTGCATTAGCACATCAGGATGGAAAATTTGGATTCCAGCCTTCTGAATGTTAATAAGCAGGATGCCAGAAGGGTCTGCACGTTGAGCAAACTATATGAAGTCAATGCAAGAGGAGTTTATATTTGAGTTTCCTGTAGATTTGCTTTCTGTTCTGGAATCCACCTGCATGTCACTGTGTGTGTGTGTACAGGTATGTATGCACACAGCTGTGGTCTGAACAGGGCAAGACTTGCACTTTGCCAGTCTTGCATTGAGTTTCCCAGGGTGACCTTGCAAACTATCTGTAAGTAGTTTCCAAAAGTTCTGGGCTCCCTAAGCAGAAGATCACACTTTGTACTTGCACCTGAGATGCACCCCAGAGCAGCCTGTGGGCTGAGGAGGGGGGTCACCAGCCCACACAGCTATGGTCTGAACAGGGCAAGACTTACAGTCTTGCATTGAGTTTCCCAGGGTGACCTTGCAAACTATCTGTAAGTAGTTTCCAAAAGTTCTGGGCTCCCTAAGCAGAAGATCACACTTTGTACTTGCACCTGAGATGCACCCCAGAGCAGCCTGTGGGCTGAGGAGAGGGGTCACCAGCCTGGGGGCTCTGCCCCAGAGGCCTCCGAGTGCAGGGGCAGTGGCACCCACTTCAGCAGATGTGCTTTAGTCCCAAATCTCTGAACATTATTTCCTCCAAAGAGAAGCCAGAGAACTCTGCAGCCTATTGTGTCATGAGGCCTAGAGCAGGCACTCCTTGGATGGGGTCAGGATTTTTCACCATGTGTTGTGGAGCTCCTAGTGCTCCTGGGGAAATTACCCCCTCTTCCTTTACTGTTCCTTAAATTCACACTTTCCAGGAAGAAAGCAAGAAACCTCTTGTAAATTTTTTCTTCCATAACACGGAATTTCTTGTTGAAAAGCTTCCCAAATCCCCAAGTTTCTGCAAAATGGTAATAGTATTCCTAAACACAGGCTTTGTTTCAAAGACTTCTGAATAAAGACGCTCAATGATTTTAATAATGTACTGAACTCTTCTTGTTTTAATGACAGGAACATTCATGTGAAGGCAATTTATGTAAGGAACAAACCCATTTGCAAACAGAAACACCATCAAAGCAAAAGGTAAGTAAAGATGAGTGAATTCAGTCCAGCTTTGTTTCAATTCATAAAAGTATCACTTGTTCATTTAGATTAAAAGAAGATCTGAGAACATCTTTAGATGTGGCAGTTGTATCCAGGAGCTTTTACATCCCAGCATAGCTCTTCTGACTGCCTTCTCTTCCCTCCTCCCACAATTAATTTTATTAAATTATCTTCTCAATTAATCTTACAAAAACAGGGAGATTGTTTTTTCCTTTCAAATATTCAGGGGGACCCCCATGAGCAAAAGGAGAACGAGCTGTGTAACAGCATATTTGAAGATTCAAGCTTTTGGTTGTGAAGGGGACTCAACCTGAATGTCAGCCAGAGCTTTTGGCCTGATGGCTCAGGTCATTCCCAGGATGTGCTGCACGACTCAGCTCTTCTGTGTGCTCCCTGAGCACGGGAAGAGGGTGGAGGGGCTGTGGGCACGGTGTTTGCCACTGTGATGGGCCACTTGGCCTGTTGGCATCTTATTTAGGAGAAGTTTTTACTGGGGGATCACTGGGGCTTGTTAAACTATGTCATATCATCGTGGGGTCTGTTGGGTGGACACTTCACTGCCAGGCTGAGTGCAAGAAACGTGCAATCATCCACACTCTTGATTGATTTACCAATGAATTTTTAAAGCTGGTTGGACACAAGCTGTGGTATTGCCTTGACTTGAACAAACCTGATTTATAGCTGTTGGGATTGCAGCCTAGTTGTTTGTAGGTAAGTAAAAGAAACCTTTCAAATAGTATTTGATTATTTTCTTTCTTTTTTTTCTTCCTCAACAGAACTTCTCTACACCTTTAATCAGCAAGGACGGCTGTCGTTTTTCTGAAGTTGGCTGTTCATTTAGGGTGAGTGACACTGCTGCCCTCAGGAAGGGCTCAAATGGTGCACAGCCCAGTGCAGTACAGTGGCTTTGGCTAGCCAGCCTTTGTGCTCAAGGCAGTAGGCCCTGATTTAGGTATGTCCTTAAGAGAAGATAGACCAGCAGAGGTGATGTTGGAACTGCCCTGGTTTCGTGGCGGGTGTAAGGTGCAGTTCAGCCTGTGACACTCCGTGTCCTGCACTGTGTGCTCATGTCAGGTAAAACCAGAGGTTTGTTACAGTTCTGCTGGTTTATCAGATATGCTGCTCCACTCTGTTTTGGATATTCTCTTCAGGCTAATGCCTCTTAAACCAGTAATGGGCCTTCTTTGTGTTTTAGTTGGCATCTGTTGTCTTGTGCCATCTTTTGTGCATAGATTATGTATTAAATATTGATTTATTTGAGAATCTTGCTGGGACTCTGCCTGGCCTTCTTTTTAATATAGCAATGTGAGCCAATTCTTTTTATATAGCATGTGTACAATGTAGCCTAAACTGATCATTAGAGGGCTTGGTGGTTTTCCTCTCTCCATGTCTCCTCTGAGTCAGCCACTGTGTAGCTGGGACCTGTAGCCTGCAGTTTTTCCAACTCCTAAGAAGCCAAAGGGAACATTGCTTGATTTGGCCCCAGGCCAGTTGTGATGGGTGTATGGAGAGTGTATTGACAGTGTCTTCTTCTTACAGGGGAGCAAAGGGAAGATAAAGGAGCATGAAAAAACAGCAGTTGGGGCCCACATGCTACTTCTGCTGCAGCACATAAAGCAGCTGAAGGCAAGTTTGTGCACTGCTGCCAAAGCTGCAAATGGCTTCATCCCACAGGCAGAGCTGAACGTGAATGGTGCAGGAAAAAGCATCTCTGACCTGCAGGTCCCAGCAGGGCTGGAAATCAACGGGGATGTGGAAATAGACTGTTTTCCTGGATCTTCTGTTTCTGAAGATGAATCTGTTCTGCAACAACTTGTGAGGGAAAAAGTGATTTCTGAGCTAGAAAATAAGCTACATGTGTTTGAGAATATTGTGGCAGTGCTCAATAAAGAGGTGGAGACCTCCCACTTGGAAATTACAGCCTTACGGAGACAGAGTGAGCTTGATCAAAATATAATACGAGGCCTTGAACTGAAGGTAAGTAGTTATGCTAAGTATTGTCTGTGTGCTCCTTCTATAGATAACAAACATGTACATACATCAGTGAGAGGTGATGTAGAGATCAAGACAGGGATGGGCACAAGAGTTTGACCTGTGAAGTGTTAAGTTTCGGACACACCTACAGGATCCTTTTGGTGTTTTGCATAAATTTTCAAATGGGAATCTCTAATATTTGTTATCTAAGTCCCTGTTTGGGTACCAAGATATTCCTGAAAGTTTTGAATGTTCAGAGTTTGCCATGATGACTGAGCAAGCAGGGCAGTTTGACTGATCCTCTTAAAGCAGTGTTGTGCCTGGAGGACCAAACAACCATCTATCCAGTTGTTTGCTTTCCATGTTGACACATAGCTGTCACTTAAAAGGAAATCAAACGAGACCCTCCAGAACATGAAGACTCCAGAATGATTCTGTTCCCTCTGCAGCAGAACAGCCTGGAGAGGAGGGATGACTGAGAGCTGATTTGTTTTCTCTAGATTGCAGAGTTGCACCGCTGCCTCATGCAGAAGGACGCAGGCCTGAGCAGTCTCCACAAGAGCCTTCTGTTTTCTGAGCAAGCTTCCTATGATGGGGTCTTTCTGTGGAAAATAACAGATGTTGGCAGGAAGCTACAGGACTCTGTGACTGGAAGAACAGTCAGTTTGTATTCACCAGGTAAAACACAGGGTGGGTACGTGGGTTAGCAAAGCCCAGTCCTCCAGAAAACCCCCCGATTTCTGTAGCTTCTTCCTGCTCCTCTGGGTAGGAGAGCCTTTATCAAATAGCTCCTTAAACTGAGGTGCTGTTTATGTGAAGGCCTCGTGCTCTCCTGCCTCTGTGACGTGCTCTTCCACGGAGCTGGGTTCTGTTCTGGGCTGGCATTTTGCAGTTGGCCCTTTGCTTGCAGTGAAATCTGCTGCACCCATCCTGTGTGCCCACACCTTGGTGCCAGCTGGTAGCGAAAGGCTGGCTGAGGCTGTTAGCTCCCACCTGGGAAGTCATTTGATTAGGTAAAATATGCTTGTATGGCTAATAACAGGTAATTTTCACTGAGGTGTGAGGCACTGAAAGGATTCCAACCACTGGATTTTCATTGCTTATAATCCCATCTCTGTGGTGGCAAACCACGTCATAGGCTGTCTATTCCTGTGTGACAGAACACTCACTGTGGCTTTTTGTTCAAAGGACTAATGAGGACTTCTGATTTTCAGCTTTCTACACTGCAAAGTATGGCTACAAGGTCTGCCTGAGGGTCTATCTGAACGGGGATGGGACAGGAAAAGGAACCCACCTGTCCCTGTTCTTTGTGGTCATGAAAGGGGATTACGATGCTTTGCTCCCGTGGCCTTTCAGACACAAGGTAAGGTGACATTTCCTACCTGATCTGAGCACAAACCTCTGCTTCTGCCAGTGAACACGAGGGAACTTTTCCTCTGGAGTTCAGTGGAAGTTGCAGTGCTTTCCCATTTTCCTCTCAGATAGCCATGGTGTAATCCTGACTAAGAATTTCCCTCTGAATGGAGTCACTTACACACAGGGAAAGCTGCTCCAGCCGAGACTCTGTACTTTGCTCATAGATTTTCAGACACCAGAATCCTGGTGTTTGTTCTGTCCCAACCTCTGTCCATCTGGACTAAAGCCAGAGACACATTTTTTCCTGGCTCTTGCTGTACATAGGTAATACCAGTTTATGAGGGAATTATGATTTGCTGCCCAAAGCACCAGTGTCAGAAATGTGAGGCAGAGTTCTGCTTACAAACGTGCCAAAGATGTCTTATGTGATCCCTGTCTTATTTTTTCTCATTTTACAACTGCAGTCTGATAATAGCAGCAATGGTTAGAGACACAGTGGAAGTGGGCACAGGGTTCTGATCTCTGTTCCAGCACTTGCCTCTATGTGGTAATAATTTGGTGAGGTTTTCATACAAAAAGCTTTGCTACCACTTAGTGGCCCCCAAAAGTAGAAATCAAAGTTCCCAGTTCTCACTTTATTACAAAACTATTACATACTCTTCACATTTAAAGGTAAAGAACAGTGAGTTCATAAAAGGGTAATGAGATAGGGGGATTCTATACTGAGCTGCAGGTTGTGTCTTTTACATATTTGCATAGAGGCAACAGAGCGGTTGATCCCAAACCACGGTAACAGGGGGGATGTAATGACTGTAACCAAACTCAGGGTTCTTCAAGTTGTCATGAGAGACAGGAAAAAAACATCTTTGGACTGTGCAGTTCTCTACCAAGAGATAATCCCTTACTTTATTTTATTTTGTGGGTGGCAAAGTTTTAAACCCTTCCCCTGGGAACCACCACGACCTCCCTTGTCCACATGAACTGACCTGGCAGGTTGTGAAGCTTCCATTGTAATTTGAATTTGGTTATCGACAGAGCACCCAGCTGCCTGGGCAGCACATTTGCCCTTCTGCCTCTGGTGTTTTCTGGTTTATTTTTCAGTTCAGTACCTCCTCGTGGCCACACTGTTTTCTGTTTTTCAGGTGACATTTATGCTGCTTGACCAAAACAACAGGGAACACGTTATCGACGCCTTTCGCCCCGACTTGATGTCTGCCTCCTTCCAGAGGCCAGTGAACGACATGAACGTGGCAAGTGGCTGCCCCATGTTCCTCCCCCTGGCCAAGCTACAGTCACCCAAACACGCCTATGTGAAAGAGGACACGCTCTAATCATAGAAACAAATCAGTAAATCCTGAAACACGAGTCTCTGCTAAATCACCCACTGAATTTCATTCACAAGGAAAAAACCCCACCTCAGCTTGAGAGCTTGTATTGGTCTGCACACACACACAGAGCCAGGGGGAGGAGCCTGGGCTCCCTGGGGTCGATTCCCATCAGCCACAGATCTGCCTGGCAGGGGCACGGCCGAGCTGCCCCGTGGCACCCCCACGTCCTGGGGGGTCTGCCTGCCCCCTCCCAGCCCTTGCCCAGAGGCACAGAGTGAGCACCAGGCTGCCAGCCCTCCTGGGGGGTCTTGGCTGTTCCCCCAGCAGGGACAAGGGCAGGTTCCTCCCCCTGAGGCACCCTCTGATTGGGTGTCTGTGCTCATTGACCACCTTCAAAGGCAGTGAGCTGTGGATAGCATTTGTGGCTTGAATTCCTTATACTGGGTAATTTATTTCTTGCTATTTATTTTAGGCCTCTATTTATGTGCTCTGTAAAGAGATGCTCTATGGCTTCAGCTACCACTGACCAGATTACACTGTGCCTTGGGGAAAGTACCTCTTGTGTTTCCAAAGGAGTAGTTTGACTTTCCTGTTTCAGACATGGAGCTCTGAGGGTTGTTAAGCCCAGGGAAGTCCAGAGCTGCCAGTCCAAGCAGGAGTAAGGAAGCCTCACGAGTTTTAAAGTGTTCAGTCCCTTTCTGAACTTTCATGTCAAATGACTTATTAGAAAATATTGATCTTTTCTTCTATCAGCTTTTTTTACATGCTCTGATGTTTAAGTCTTTTTACACGCTAAAATGGAAGTAACTACTAGACATGTTTTTGTCTTTTTTTAAATAGAGGTAAGGAATGAATAATTGTTTTGTTTAATAAGCAAATCAAAGCTTGGAGAAGCCTGGATGTGTGTGAAGTTCAGCTGCTGCACCTTATTCCCAACAAGCAGCCAGCCTGGCCCCCTGCTTCCCTGCTGAGCAGCTCTGGGTTTGGTGCAGCAGCTTCTGAGCTTCCAGCAGACTCGTGCCACGGGGCAGCTGTGCCATGGGGTAGCTGTGCCACGGGGCAGCTGTGCCATGGGGCAGCTGTGCCATGGGGTAGCTGTGCCATGGGGTAGCTGTGCCATGGGGTAACTGTGCCATAGGGCAGCTGTGCCATGGGGTAGCTGTGCCATGGGGTAGCTGTGCCACAGGGCAGCTGTGCCATGGGGTAGCTGTGCCATGGGGTAGCTGTGCCACAGGGCAGCTGTGCCATGGGGTAGCTGTGCCATGGGGTAGCTGTGCCACAGGGCAGCTGTGCCATGGGGTAGCTGTGCCATGGGGTAGCTGTGCCACAGGGCAGCTGTGCCATGGGGTAGCTGTGCCATGGGGTAGCTGTGCCACAGGGCAGCTGTGCCATGGGGTAGCTGTGCCATGGGGTAGCTGTGCCACGGGGCAGCTGTGCCAGGGGGCAGCTGTGCCACGGGGTAGCTGTGCCATGGCTGGGGCTGGCTGGGAGCAGAGCTGAGGCCAGCCCTGGCAGACACAGCCAGGGGTGTCCACACGCCCTCTGTTCGTGTTTCCTTTGCAGTATTTCTGTGTGCCAGCTGCAAACAGGGAAAGGCCAAGCAGGAGCTGTTTGTCCACGTGTGTTTTGCAGACACTGGTGGCTGCAGCCGTGGAGCAGGGCTGGGGAGATGTCTCGTGCTGTGACTCACCTCCCAGCATACCAAGGAGCTCTCAAATCTCTCCTGCCCGGCTGGCCAGCGTCCCTTAAAATTTGTTGTGATGAAGCATCAGATTTCAAAAAACCATGCTCCATAAACAAACACCTACCAAAGCTCCTGGGGAAGGCACTGGATACTCTTGGCCATCACACTCACAGAGTCTCTGTCTGTCTTTTTCTGTCTTCCATGTTTAAAATGTTCAGGGACAGAAAGATATTTTTCCAGTGACGTGCCAGCCCCTGTAACCACACTGGAGTAATATGCCTAAAAATGCCACGTTTATGGCTGTGTAATGCTGCCAACTGCTGTATTTATTACAATCATTCCTATTTTCTTACAATTTTATTTATTTCCTAAATAAAGCTCGCTAACTCAAAAAAAGGTTTGTGTGTTATTTTCACTGTAAAATAGGTGACTGAGCAACTTGGAGATATGTTGGGCGTGGTTTGCTAGAGAAGCAGCAGAGCTATGCTGCAACACTCACCACAACACTTCTCCAATTCTAGGGGATGAATTCTATTTCTCCTGAAAGGAGTTTGGAGCGAGGTGGGTGTTGGGCTTTTCTCCCACGGAACAGGGGATGGGATGAGAGGAAATGGGCTCAAGTTGCACCAGAGGAGGTTTAGGTTGGGTATTAGGAAGAATTTCTTTACTGAAGGAGTGGTGAGGCCTTGGCCCAGGCTGCCCAGGGAGGTGTGGGTGTCACCATCCCTGGAGATGTTAAAATAACGTGTAGATGTGGCACTTGGGGCTGTGGATTAGTGGTCATGGTAGCGTTGGGTTGTTGCTTGGACTTGATGGTCTTAGAGGTCTTTTCCAGCCTTAATGATTCCATGATTCTATGAGTCTATGATTCTTTGAGTCTATGACAAGGTCACCTTTGCCTCTGGAAGCTGGTGGCTGTATGGAGACGTTGCACCCCAGAGATGGGGTTTGACCTGGCACACTGGATGAGGGGTTACCCCACCCCGGGCCCCACGGCGCTGGGAGCTGGGGTCACCCCTG